CACTTTTGTCCTTGGGTGGCTGGGCGTAAATCTACTGGAGTTGATGACTATGGCGAGATCGACCCGAAGCTGTGGGAGTTCATCAAGCTGCCGGGATGGAGGCAATATGCTCAGGTAATGTCATATGACCGAATTGCTTGAATGAATATTTAACCTAAAGGTTGTTTCTGGACAGTGTTTGAGTTTCCTAGGTAATCCGGAGGATCGAGCTGTCGTAGCTGGGACTTCTAACGACTCGCAAGAAGTGAAAGTGTGCGATCCAGTGGAAGCACTAGAGTCAGTACGAGCTGTACTGGGCCTTTAACGCAGTTGAAATCAAGGTTTGTGGCTAACAGTGAGCTCGAGAATGTCAGCATTGATATACGTATGAGAAGATGCGTGATTGTCGTTTCGACGGATGTTGTCTATTGATATGCTCATCATACTCACTTTTATCAGACCCAAAATATTCAGGGACTGGCAGAAGATGAGCGACGACGAACAGGTGTTGAGTGAAGATGACGGTGCTGATCTGTTTGAAAGTGACTCTGAAGATCAGGGCAGTGAAACTGAGCTATCACTCGCCTTACCATCGCTATCCCTCGACTCTTCAGATGTCAGATCACCTGACCACCATGGTCTTGATGAGGGTGCAGAACACGAAAACACTGACTGTGCTACCGATCAAAATGTTGATAATGACTTTGGCGTTGGTGTCGAATCATGTGCTGCAAAAACCGAAGGAGAGGGTCATGAACTCTACGTCCACGAAGATATTTCAGCAAGAGCTGACGGTGATGACCCTGGTTTAGCTGAATTACAAACCTGTCGATCTAGCCAGGACAAATTACCAAGTGAAAAATATGAAGTTAGGAACGAAGATGATGTGGTGACTCAACCTCCTGCCGTGATAGCACTATGTGAAAGCCCAAAACTACCCGACCCTGATGATCATCAAACGATCGATGCAGACCAGAAGTCACTCGATTCTGACAAAATTGACAACAATCTCAGTATTACGGAACAGGATGATTCTGACCACGAGGGAGGTGGTCGAGGCCTTCCTGACGGCGCTGAGCTCACACCAAGAATTACCCCATCAACGGAAAATTCTACTGAGATTCGAGACACTAGTGCATCATCTGCAGACAAAACAGTGCGCTTCGAGCCCAGCAACTACGTGCCTTTACCTGCTGCACACGAAGAACTCACTACAACACCAAACCCAGCACAAACCCAGCTCAATGAAGATACGAACGACCAAAACACCCCCGACAAAACGTCTAATGAAAACTTGCAGCTACCGGCCGAAATCAACCCGTCACACTCCACAGACGCAACAAAGCCACCAGTTTATACCATCGAATCCCTGTTTCCTGTCGTATACGAAGACAACATTCCCATATCGCCTGGAAGTGAAATTGCTCAAGTAGTGCCGATATCAAGTGGTTTTACGAATACTAAAAAGCCGACTCGGAGGCGAAGAGCACAAATCGACGATAACCCGGATAAGACTATTGCTTCACGTTTAGCAGCTCTTCAAGCTCGACTTGATGCAGCTAAAAACGAACTGGTCAATGCAACTCGTACGCTCCAACTAAAGCTGTCGATAGTTGAGACTGATAACAAGAAACTGTCAGAACGGAACGCTCGTTTGAAGACTCAGCTCTCGTTGGCAACTGCTAACCTGCAGCGAACTACCGCTGAAATGATCAGACTCAACACTGAGAACGAGGTATATGCTGCTAAACTACCACAATTGCAAGCTGAATTGCTAGACGAGACGTCGCAAGTAGATGAAACACAAGCCCAATCCGTGCAGACTCAGCTGGCTTTGACGCAACTTAGGGCACGATCGCATGTCCTCCAAACACGAAAAAATTCTCTCGAGGCGCAGAATAACAAATTAACACAAAAACTACGAGAATGTCAGCAACAATTGAGGCGTAAAACGGCAGCGTTGCAGCAACAGACCGAAAAGGCGAACAAATTTGAGCTCGACTTGAACCAGCTCAAGACCACTCACACACAAGAAAAACTCGACTGGAAGAACCGGTTGACGGCTGCATTAAAGCGATTTGAGCACGATAAAACGAAGTTAGAAAATGAATTCAAAGCTGCAGAGAGAAAAGTGGTCCGTGAGATGAAGGGCAGAGCGGAGAAAGCTCTTAAGAAGCGACGTACTGCAGAAGCCACGACTGTTAGGCTGAACGAGCAACTGAAGCAATGCAAATGGGAACTCTCATCGGCTAATGACATGGTCCTAGGCCGCACAAACGAAGTCCGAACTCTCGAGGCTCTTCTGCGCAAGGCACATCGTACTGAAGCCACGCTTCGCAATGACCTGGCTATCTGTAAGACTAGGTTACACTCTCTTCAGGACGAGAAGAAGCGTAGCATGGCACGTTCTGGCATTGTGCGAACTCGTCGTCATCGACTTGGAAACCAGGTTCCTATTGAGATGCTGCTAACTGATAGTAGCGACGACGAAGACCAAGACAACCAGGTGAAAGAACAGTGTATCCATTGTCTCGCTTCAACTAAAGATCAATCTCCATGTTCACCTTGCAGTGAATGTCCACAACTTAAAGACAAGATACACCA